AAGTTTCTCCTTGAACTCAATGCCATGCGGCATTCGAAGCACGTATATCGCGGTGACTCGCCTTCGAATATGTATGCGGACTGTCTCTTATATGATGTATAAACAGTGTGACCCGGGCTTAAGTCAGCGCCTTTTGCCGTTTTTGTGTGTCGCCGTGCCATATGTCCTCGTCATTTGGCGCTGTTGCCCCTTACAATAAATCACCACCTCGCCAGTATCTTCAAAAGTTCCCCCGTTTTATTTTTATCTCAACTTTTCCAATATCTCCCCTTTCGACTGGACAGCAATATTTCTATTTTTTATTAGATCCTGCATCAATTCCGCTTTAATTATGATTTATAAGATGAGCTACAACTTTGCCCGTGCAATGACTGGACAGAGTTTCCGAGCGTAAAATAGCAATCATTTTATGTTCCTTCGCCACTTTTGTGAAACAGAATTCGTTTATTTCATAGTTGATTTTTTTTAAACAGTGCTTTTTAATACAAGCAGTTAAATTAAGGACGTGGAACGACAGTGCATCTTATATGAACGACTCTATAATTTCTACGCTATATAAAGGTGAATATTCTTTTACAAATTTTGAAATTATACTATATGCAAGGTATATGTCTCAGGGCCAACATATAGGTAATGTTATATCTGTGCTGACTATATAGCTGTTTACCTTAGACGATATGGCAGGCTTCTGTCCCCAACCAAAATCAGAATAATTCTACTAACGCATAAGAGCAGTCATCTTGTTTAGGATACATGGATATCACAAACCTATTAAAATGCTGTAGCACACAAATAGTACTACGCTGTATTTGTGATGCCCGAATTCCACAGTCTGCTCCCATTCCAATAACTTCTACTCCTAAAGCATTTCGACTGTGACAGTATCGGTCATAGCTTTACATTAAACACAAAACGGAGCGTACTCAAATCGTGAACGCTGACTTCCCTGACGAGAAGCAATCATGAGTGTCTGTGTGGGTCTCGTACCGCCTGTGTCGCCCGCCTGTGATGTCGCGATATGTTTATTTTATTTTTATTATTAACATTTGATATGTATTTGTTTCTGCGATGTCGCGATATAATTTATTTGTATTATTTTTAATTAATTCCAAATGTAATTGTTGAAATTCAAAGCTTCGGCTAGATGGCCCGAGCGCTACCCGAATAAAAGTGTTCAGTAGCATCTATTCATCCAATAACAGACGAGACTTGGGTATTATTAGATCATCGTTACGGGATCACTGAGTCGCCCCAAGAGGCAAACGCGCTGAATCTTGACGAGAGTAGAGGCGGAGCAATGCGGCACACGCCTGCGTCTATGGCGTCGCCGTATACGCTAGCGTCACGCTTGTTGTGAGGCCCTGAAAGTCGGGACGGAGGCGAAGCTGATCCGTCTTGCCGTTTTCCGCGGACAGAGCACTCAGGTGTGGGCTCGAGAAAACAAAGCCAAGATATTACGCCGTTAAAACCCCACCGTGCGTGAACGCGACATCGATGCCCAACGACTTCGCCCTGACGGGTCGCAACTATCGCCGTGACTGTATACTGTGGATCCACAGTGCAGTTCTTTTATTGTTTAGAAACCTCACGAGTCTGCCAGATCACGATATGTACATGCACCTGGATTTTGCGAGACTACCGTCAAAAATATTAAAACTTGCGAGGTTCAATGTATTAAAGGAGACGTTCAGCTATTGTTATGTTTTGGAGAATTGAGAACCAATGCGGTGCGCAAGTTCGTCTGTTTCTTTCTCAGTGGTTTCACTGACGTCAGAACGACGAGCTCTGATTGGCTCTGATGGAAGGATAGTGGGTAGACCTCAATGCTAGCCGCCTTGAGGTTTGATTGATTGATTGATTGATAACTTTTTATTTAAAACATAACTGTACAGAGATGTCCCAGGTGACATGGCAAAAGGCATAAATGCCTGACGGGGCCATGCCACCCTTTTGGCAGCAACGGTAGCAAAAACAAATAAATGAGGAATGACACAATTTCACTCCAAACTAAAAATCTATACAAAACAAAAAAAATACATCACAAAACATGACGTGAAGGGACAATTGCTACTTATCATTCCAAGCATTTTGCTTAAAACACACACGGTTTTATTCCCCTGTGAGTAAGTATTCTTTTACAATATTTTTATATTGATAGAGTGATCGCACGCACTCCAATGAAGCTAAAATATATGGGTATTGGTTTAAATAGTCTGGTATCAAAAAACTCAACCTCTGGTCTCCATAATTCGTTCGCGAACGCGATTTTATTAATAAATGACGCCTTAAATTATACGGGCTATCTTTCGCGTGGTACTTAGCATAGAACACCAATTTATCGAGCTGAAATTGCCGCCAAATTTCAAGTGATAGTTTATATTGATGTAGATTTCTTACGTTGAGTATTTGATATGTCCTAAAATAAGGTGTGGCACTTTTAAGGAGTTGTATGTTACCAATTGCTCGCAATGCTCGCTTTTGTATGGATACAATATTGTCTAGATTTGTTTGGGATGTCGTAGACCATACTAAAAGGCAGTAACTTATGCGGGATTGCACAAGAGCGAAATAAATTTGACGTTTCACTTTTGTTGGAAGATAATATCTTAATCTATTTAAGACACCAACAGCTCGACAAAGACTTGTTCTCAAAGAATCAATATGTGGCGTCCATGATAGATTTTCATGCAATAAAACCCCCAAAAATCGAATGGTTGGAGATGGTTGAATATAAGAGTCCTGGAATTTTAATTGCAAATTGGAAGGTGGTATCGTTCCTTTTGGTCTAAACAGTAAGTACTTTGTTTTTTCTATGTTTAAATAAAGTTTATTAGATCTAAGCCATAAGTCTAATCCCCGCAACCACTGTTTTGCCTTTCCAAAGAGGTCGTCGATGTCCGAGCCAGAAAAGAAAATATTTATGTCATCTGCATATGGGACTATATTTGAACTGCCATGTATGTTTACAATGTCATTAATATATAACCAAAAAAATATAGGACCAAGAATAGACCCCTGAGGAACCCCATACTTTATGTACTGAACGTCTGACTTTACTCCATTTACTATTGTATATTGCGTTCTTGTAGTGAGGTAACTTTTAATCAGTGATAAGGAAATACCGCGTATTCCGCACAACGGAAGTTTCTGTAAAAGTATTTCATGCTGAACGCAATCAAAAGCCTTCTTAAGATCTAGAAATATACCAAGCGTGTATATTTTTTGTTCTATGTTCTCGAGAATTTGTTCTTTAATTCCAAGAAGTGCAACTTCTGGCGATTTATTTTTCTGAAAATTAAATTGTTCTTTTACTAAAATGTTATTGAAGGTCAAAAACTTAACAAGTCTTTTATTTATAATATGTACGGCTATCTTTGCAAAAACTGAAAGTACAGAAATAGGTCTATAGTTGTTTAAGTCACTAACTGGGCCACCTTTGTGTATAACCGTCACACGTGCATGCTTCATTTTGTCTGGAAAGACACCCGTAGATAACATGAGGTTACAAACGTGCGCGAGTGGAATACTGATTCTGTCGCAAACGGCTTTTAACGGTTTTGGTTTAATGTCGTCTGGCCCGGAGGCGCAATCATTTTTTAATGCTAGAATTAACTCCATTATTTCACACTGGTCTGTTGGATATAGAAAGAGGGAATTAACACAGTTTGCCGAAATGAACTGCTCGCATGGTATTTCTGCACAGTTATTTAAAGGAGCACCAACAGTCACAAAATGAACATTGAACAAATTTGCTATTTGTTTATCCGTCAGCGCCTCATTGTAATATTGAACTTTTCTTGCCGAGGTATTTTTAGAAATGATCTCGTTTACTGTTTGCCATATCATTCGGGGATCTCCCATAACCTCTGAAAATTTGTTCATATAATATTCGCATTTTGCTTTTTTAATATCAGAGTTTAGTTTATTTCGGACTTTCTTAAATATGCAAAGGTCAATTTCGCTTCTCGTTTTTAGAAATATTTGAAATAGCTTATTGCGGTTTTTAATTCTTGCATATAATTCATGAGATATCCATGGTTTTCGAGTTTTCTTATGTTTTTTTCGTGTCTTCAGGGGAAAAGAGGTGTTATACGCGGACAGAAAGCAGGATAAAAAAACGTCATAGGCTGTGTTTGCATCATTTTCTCTCAAAACACGATCCCAATCTAGGCAGGAAATAAGATCTTTGAAATATTGAATATTTCGTTCCGAATATTCTCTAACCAGTTTTTTTTTCGTTATTCTTGCGCAGCTGGTTAACAGGCATTAGACAGTATATTGGCAAATGATCACTGATATCGCACGTTAATACACCTGATTTCAAATTCTCAGTAGGAAGATTTGTAATGCAGAGGTCAAGGGTTGTCTCGGAAGTCGAGGTGATTCTAGTTGGTTCAGCTATTGTGTTTGTGCAACCATAAGATGCAAATATATATTGAAAGCGCAAATATGAAACATTGTCAGCGGAAGCATTTATGTTAAGATCACCAACGAGAACCACCTGTAACTTTAGTTCTATGCTGTGTTCAAGCAGCGTTTCTGAGAAATGCAGAAAGTCATTTACGGATCCAGACGGAGGACGGTACAAGAGAGCAAACAAAATATCACAGCATTGGATCGAAATACACTCAATGTTGTCGTCTATAATTTTGTATTCAGGTACTATTTTGTATGATAGCTCTGAGCGAATATATATGGCAACACCACCACCAGCCTTTTTTGAGCGGCACGCAGACACACAGTCGTAACCAGCCAGCTGGACACACTCTTCACATGTAAACCACGTCTCACTAAAACAGATTATGTCAAAACATTGATTTAACTCAGATAAAAAAAGATTTACCTCGTCGAATTTTTTCCGCAAGCTTCTTGCATTTAAATGAAAAAGTGAAAGATAATGACCTTTCAAAGATGCGATATCACACGAAAGATTAGGCATGAAAATAACAAAAGTTCAGACGTTCTTTCGTACGAGTTACTTTAGATTGACAAGATCATCCTCACCGCGAACTTACCACTGCACGTTCACCGTTCTTTTTTCGGACTAGCACTTTCCCATTCGCATGCCAAACAAAAGCGTATCCTGATTTCTGCGCCCATTCCTTCGTCATCGACAAGAGAGTGCGGGAGAGCCGAGTCATGTTTTCACAAATATACAAGTTGCCTTTTTCTTTCTTAAGTGACTGCCTTTTTTGAAGCCAAGAATCGCGAAGCTCCTGACACGTGAAGCGAACGATAACGCCTCGTGTTTCGCCCGGTTTTGCTGGGAGTCTATGCAAGGCTGCAATGTCACTTCGGTTTACAGGTGGAATATCCAGCTTTGTTGCCAATTTGTTCATTTTTCCCATGAGGTCTTCATTTTGTGTTTCTGGGATGCCATGAATTTCAATGTTTAGACGACGACTCTGTCTTTCGAGGTTATCCAAATCAAATCGGAGCTGAGCTAGTTCGTTTGGAGAGGAAACTTTTTCTAGCAGGTCTACTCGCTTAGCCAGTTCTTTAGTGGACTTCTCCTGCGCAAGTAAACGACTTTGAAGGTCGTCAAACGTATCTGAAAGTACTTGTACAGACTTTTCGAGTCCACCGATCACGCTTGGCAAGGTCATCAGAGTATCGAGCTTATTACTTATTTCCAGCAACAGTAAAGAGAAGTCGACTACCGATTTCGGCGTTTTTCTTTCTTTGTTCGTTTTTTTGCCTCCTATGCACAGTCCACACTTCCATGTTTTTTTAAAATCCCCAGGTTTTCCTTGCAGTGTTTTTTCGGTTTTATCAGAGCACTCACCAAGATGGAACATGAAATTACATATAGAGCAGCGCATATACGATCCATTCTTAGGAATAGATAGCCGGCATGCGCAACAGCGTGTCATGACAAAATACACAAAAAAGACAAAACACCTTCACGCAACGCACTCTGGCAGCAGCGGCAGGTAGACTAGTAGTAATAAATAAGGTGACAAAGGGACATTTACCAACCTGCGAAACACAGGAGAAGAAGTATGAGCTGACGTGTCGTCAGCTTGCTGCCGCTGCCGCCAAATGCGAAGAAAACGCCCCTCAGCAACCGCAGGTGCCCATCGATGTCGCTGCCGTCGCTGATATCGCAGGCGATTTCGCTGCGTTGGAAGAACTTGGCCTTGCCGACGAAAAATAAATTTCCTCCGTTTGAAGCTTGAGTTTGTCGGATGACGGTCTGTAGGGATGTCGCGTCGGAGTAGTCGGTGGGCCACCAGGTTAGGCAGCTGCGAAACACAGGAGAAGAAGTATGAGCTGACGTGTCGGTCTACCCACTATCCTTCCAAACGGAGCCAATCAGAGCACGGCGTTCTGACGTCAGTGCAGCCGCGGCTCAAGAACCAGACGAACTTGCTCTCCGAGTAAGAAGGTGAGAAAATTAAGAAGAGATAAATTAACTGTGTGTCGCTCTTTTGTAAGCAGAATTTTATATTTACTTAAGGAATATCCGTGATGCGATATAGGAATTTTATTGACATTGTATGAACCTGAGGAAATTCAATATGTGCTCAACCTTAAAGGCGGATTTACGCAGCACTGTCTCCTTGCGTTACGTTATGTTAGGGGAGGTTACGTCTGCTTGCGTCTGCTTACATCGGCAATCGTGCGGACATTCATGCTACGTTAAAAGCGTGGCAATACATCCAAGGAGTATAGCTCTGCGCGTGTAACTCGTAGCATGAACGTTCCGGTGACTCATAACGTAACACAAGAAAACGTAAGGAAACGCTGCTGTGTGAATGGGCCTTAAGCAAAAAAAACGAAACGTCAAAAAAAAAAAAAAAGAAATACACGAGGACAAAAAAGTGTTTTACACGCCCTGTATCGTTCACTTCTTTGTCGGTATGTATTCTTTGTTGGCCATTTTTATGTGATCATGAACCAACTGGCTCTAATTACCGTTTCCTTGCGCCCTAGGTACAAGCAGCATTAGGCTTCTGAAGGCAATGATTTATGTCTATGACAAAACTATGACTAAATAACAATTAACTGAGTGATAACAAACGCCACATTCGCGAACGCACAACGAGGTCGAAAAAAGTAGGCTGGTGAAGGTTAATAAACAGTGTGACTTTACCCAACCTGAGTTTCACTTACAGGGTTTGGGTGAAGTCAGTATGTTTATCATTCGCGATGTTAAGAATTATTGAAGCTGTATATGTTTTTATACAGTTGATATTAGTTGTTCGCTTCTATCTTCTTTTTTATTTTATTTTTGTGTAAACCCCACACTCGTAAGGGGGCGGAGGGCTCGCCACTCTTTATAGCTGACTTTTTTCTTCTCACAAAATGGTGGTGATTAAACGGATTTATATTTGTAGTGCTCGGTGTAGAAGTATTTCACATCAGATGGCACCACAATGTTATTCCCCGCGTTTTCTTTTTTATGTACTTATCTAGCGGCAACAAATTTACTTGAGGTTCAAAGCACGCAGTTCTCAAGTCGCTATTCTTTTTCCTTTCGCTTTTTAAGTGGATTGCAAAGGAGTGCCGCGAAACCTTTGAGTCGTTGCCGCCGCTTGACGGAGCCTATCAGGTGCATGCATCGCCGTAACCCTTGCCCCCAGTGACACTTTTCGAGCTCGCCCAACACCCAATCCAACGAAATACGACACCACTCGGATCCTCCGTTGCATACTCATGACCCACAGCGAGGACGCAAGCAGACTTCGTTTTATCTGAACATGTTCACTGTACGTGCCGTTTAATCAAGAGGACTTAAAACAAAAACGGAAAAGAGGCGAATGCGATAGCCGAACCTAAAGTTAAGACTACAGTGTTTCCCGAAGCACTGAAAACTGTTAGTGTTGTAATAAAATGTAAGCGAAACATGGGTGAAACGAGCGAATTCAAGTTGTGCGACAACTTAAAAAGAGAATGCGGTAAATCATTGTGCTCTTTTAGAAGGATGAAGCTGGTTTCATTCCAGACCAAAGCATACCATAGAACCAAACCCCTCTTACATAACCTTTCGTAAGCGTTGTTCTACCTTCCTACATGTTTTACGATGTCAAAGACTAATATTCTTTATACATTGTCGCAGGTATGATTTGTTTGCGATTAAAGTGTGCAAACTGCTTGCCTACTATAGCCGGCAACTTGTGGCGTTTTCTTTCACGCAGGAACAGACCGATATCTCCGTTGCGCAGACCGCTACCGCAATGCATCGAGGGAACTTTAGTCGTTCTGCACGTGGGACTATTGCGCTGAAGCACCGCGCGTTCAGAGCATGGCACGGCACGAGGCGTCTCGAAAACTGACGTCTGCTTCCTCTAAACTAAAGTCATGGCGGCTAGGGCATGCGCCGAACACTTGGTGAGATCGGTCTATCAAAGCTAATGGGAGGGCAGGCGAACAACAACCAGGAAGTCTGACCTTTCAGAAGTTCCGCAGATTAGTGAGTATATGCATAGATTTCCACATTACAATATTATAAATGAAAAAAACAGGGAGTGCGCAGGCGAGCTGGTGGATGTTGGTCATGATGTAGATTACCCGACACTGTAGTAAAAGAGGGGAACTTGGTGGGAGAAAAGTGACAGCTAGGGAAGCAACAATGCGTAGCTTACCGCAATTTTCCGTTTACTATCATAAAATTTATCATTTAATATATTTATTCATTCTTGTTTTAGGCTCGCGAATCTGTCACATAGCTCACTAATTTTGTGGCGTGCTCAACGAAAGGAATGTAAAACGCAAGTTCTGGCGATTGTGTAAGTTCTACAAATACCGTTAGGATGATCATGTCAGCAGCAAAGAGAACAAAATAGGGCAAATGGTAGAACACAACGAATAGAACAGCGGAGACCAGCCACGTTTTATACATCGTCCTTCGCGATCCCGATGAATTTTCTTCTTTACTACTTAAAAGGTGTCCAATTAGTAAAGGAAAACAATTTACAGGTTTCAGAAAAAAACAAAGGGTTAAGGCAAAGCGTTTCACGCAAAGATGCCAGAGATCAGAGGCCCCAGAGACCAGAGGCCCATTCCAGCTAAGCGCGGCCATTTTTTGATCGCGTACTTGGGTTGCTACAACTGCCATGCGGTGACGCGTCACGTTGTTTGGCACATGGAACATTCCACCTGAGAACGCGCGCGCACAGTTATTGGTATGTTGTGGCTGCCAGCGACGCGCTGCCATTCGTCAGTGCTCTCCTAGTGGGCCGCAGTGGCCTACGGTGACATACGGCCTTTGTATTTTATTGCATTGTATTCTTTACTTCAGACAAAAACTTTCGAGAGGCTAGAGCAAAGAAAGACAAGATGGTTTTTTGACGGGACCCTAGCACCTGGTTCCAGCACTTACCAGAAAGAAGAGACAAAGCAAAATAACCCTAAAGAATTACTCGCGAGTATCAAAAGGACATCGAGCACATATAATAAATAATGTGCGTAGATGAACAAGTTGAGGTACCAAGTGCAGATTATGGGGCGTTGGTAATATATCGTTGAAGTTTTTTCTCTTTTGAATGTCCCGAATTGGCTGGTAGGTTGCAATACTTCAGCTGCAATAGGGTATCTGTTTAGCACACCGAGAAGAAGATGTATGCAAGTTTTTGCATATCAAAGTTTAGGCTATCTTTGCATTTTACGTAGTGACTGCGTCTTAAATTTCTCCACCCTTTTTGGCTCAAGCGAATCGCGTCATGAATAACCTTAATTTGTCCACCTCCGAGATGACGACTCCTGACGACATGGTGATGATAGCTGACATCATCACCATCATGCTTGAGTGGCGCAGCACAGCGAGAGTTGAGGCATTTGTGGGGATCGTCATAGGCGCAAAAAAGATGACGCTATTCGCCGAACGCGACTTCGGCATGTATGTATGCGCGTACGTCTTCTGCTCAACAGCGAGCCACGAATAGTCTCCTAGCCATGCTAAATGTTAAACACCGATTGGTTGCTCTGCTTTAACGCCCCTGGATATATAAGATATAACTCTTGTGGACAGAAGAGCGGGACACAATATATTGCGGTCACCGACATATAGTACATAGCTTGCATGCTGACGTCACTTGATCAGACATAATGGAGAGAAGGGCGTCTGAGATGGTAGCTTCCGCTGCGTTAACCAGGCTCTCCTGGCAACCAGAAAGAATGACCATCACGTGCAATTTATGTATATTTAATGGTAAAATAAAAACAAACGGCGCGTCCGGCTCTCCGCCTCCTCGAAGGGTCACTGTAAAATACCTTCTTCGCGCTCTTTTTTTTTTTTTTTTTTTTTGAGGGTGCGGACAATTATTTTTTAGTATTACACTGGGCGTGAACTAAGACTGCACTGTTTAAAATTCGGTTCTGATGACGACATCGCAGCAGCGTTGCTCCCTGGCTACTCCTGTTGACTGACTTGTTTCTTTTTACGTATATCTCACCTCACTGAACCTAAGTCGCCTTTTGATAGCAAACAAAGACACTAGAAATAATTGTTTTTTTATCTTTCGGGATTCTATGTAATTTCCATTCACTATTCTACACTTCGTTAAAAAAAAAAAAATCTCAAACGAATAGTTTATTTGTGAAGGGACCCCTTCCCTGATAAAAACGATGCTCACCTTTTGTGCTGAACCTTTACACTTCAGGTGGTTTCTTTACCTTTACCACAGTCGCAAAACAGAGGTTTCAAATGACTCGGTTTGTAATCTAGAATATTTGTAGGCAAGTGACGATCGGGTCGAGGTACAAGTCCTAACGGAACTGTGATGATTGCGTCCAGCTGACTTGTAAACACGCCGCAGATCTATAAAGTTAATACGAAGGTGGGGGTCTGTTCCATTTACGCATTTGAAACAATTCCCCATGCTCGAAAAAGTGTTGACGGTGCTCTTCGTGGCCATTGAGCGATGTGACATGTTTACAAGACGCCCTTTCGCTACTGCCGTCGAAAAATTCGTTTTTCTTCACCCCATTCTCCACTGCGGAATATTGGCTACTATATTCGTTATAAAGGCATGTTCGTTTTAAGAAATCACGTCGTATAAAGGAACATCGTGGTATAACTCAAGTGCCGCAGGCATGTCGCGGTCACTTCTGAGCGAGGGTGGGAAGAAGAACAAATCCTACATTACGACAGCGTCGCGCTCATTATGGCGAACACGCGTAACGAATCCGGGATAGCGCTCAAACTCGGGCCGACTGCAGACTCTCTCTGCGATGCCGCCGAACAAAATCAAAGGCGGCAGCGAGCTCGAATTAGACGAGACTTAATTCCATACAGCTTTCACCCATGCCTGTTGCGCCACCTCTATTAAAAAAAAAAAAAAAAAAAAAAAAAAAGTTCCCACCGTGCAGTTTTATATTTTATGATATCGTTCTTTTATTTATTTATTTTTCTGTCCTCCTCTTAAAATGGATTAAGTGAAAGCGGAAACCGCGCCGATTTTCTGCGAGGATTAGTCGCGTAAAAACGTTGGGCCACCAAAGACACCGCGATTATGGCGACATGGTCGTAAAAAAAGTTTGGTGCACCCACGGAAGAGTCGCTGTCGTTCTCACCGAGAAAACGCCCTTCGCGTTCTGACCAATAAGTTGTGTCGCGAATTGGTGTCGCGCTGCTTGGGGTGAAGGTGTATGGCAGCGAGCTGGTCTTGAGAAACAAAACGATGGTCGGCATGCACTCCAACCTTGCGTACACGAGCAGTGTTTTGTTCTACATTGCTTCAAATACGGTTCGATCTTAAATTAGTGACAAAGCCTGATCTCGGATATCAAATAAACAACGTCGGTCTTATACACCAACTCGACTCGATGACCCCGAGTTGGCGCTGCTGTCTGCACTTTGCATGCGCAGACTTTTTATCTCACGCGAATCTGGTTTGTGCGCACGCGCAATGCCCACATCTGCAGTGTGGGCAAACGTGGGCTTGTTTGTGAGCTGCGTGTTGTCAAAATACAGTTGTAAACATGGTACCGTGCCGTAACATTACTTTTCTTATTCTAAGTGGAAACGCCTAGATCTGTTGAGACAAATGAGCGAATAAAATATCTAAAACAAAAACAAACGGCATATCTAAAAAAGGAAAGCTGGCTTTTAGTTTTAGAGTGCATGTTTCCCGATATTTTGTTTCTCTTTCTATGTTTTCAACTCCCGCTTGATGACCTTTTTTGACTTACAGACATCATTTAAGTACTAGAGCCTAAACGTAAATTTATCTCGAGCAAGTACTCTCTACGGCGGAAATTAATTTGGCTCGAATCGCCACTTGTGTCTGAAGGCTGCGTCAGACATTGGCGTTAGTGTGTTAGCACACCGCAGCTCGGAGCAGTGGTGCTGCACTGGCTAAATTTCTCCTCTACGTGTGTGAACCAGTGTCGCCGAACCTCAAAGGCACACTGACCTTACGCTGTCTAAACGCGAACGCCAAATTTGGTTTTGGTTCAGTTTCCGGCGAACTGCATTGCGACTGCTTGCGTTCCACTACGGCACGGTGCGTGAACTACGGTTGCCATAGCAGTCATCTCGTTGTAAGTCATCATAAATGATCGTAAGGTGGTAGGTCAAAGTCAAACGCAAATGTCTGAAGCAGCCTTAGGCTGCAGAGGTGGACTTACGCCGGTGTTCCGACAGCGTACTCATATATACACTGCGATGAACCACTAAAGGTAAGACGACATTCCTGCTCTTTTAGCATTTATGTGGTACAGTTTCGCATGGAGGAGCACATATGCAGACGCTACAATTGCGCGCGTACGGCTTTTGCATCGCAATAGTTTGTACGATGAAAGACTTTCAACGGTGAAAGAAAACCGAGAACATCCCGGAATCTCGTGTTTAATACAGAAACAGCATAACTTTGTTGACCCCTGTATACGTTCATAACGCATCAATTAGTACACGAACGCAAGACGGTACCTTACTTGTTCATGCTGTGCCCACGAGGTACGGGAAATGGGATTACGATCTCTGATTATATGGTGCGCGAGCTTTCGCTCCAAGCGAAACAATGTTGATGTGTACGCACCAAACACCATCAGCTTGTCTTAAAATTAATTTTCCGTAATCTAAAAAAAAAAAAAAATACAGGGTGCTGAATTATATATTAGGTGAAGAACCGCATTGCTTCTCGTGGCCCGGAGATCCCATTCCCTCTCGTCAAAAACAGCTTCGATCAAGTCGCTTTCTAAGTATCACCCCCCTCCCTCGTGGTGTTTTTTGTTTTGTTTTTGGGGAAGAGCATTGTTGTGAGGGACATGACAGCTTCTGCCGGCTATCGGGAAATGTGGGTGCTTTCGATCCTTTCCCGTATCTGACACTTATGAGCTTTTTGAGGAAAGCTTTGTGAAGGAGCATATTCAGCCACTGGTCACTACCCACTGTATCATAAGTCACCGCCCGCGTTATCTCTCAATCTGCTGTTGGTTTGATAGCAAAGGCGTTTTTTATTATTATTTTTTTTGTTAACATTAAAGGACTCAGATGGAAACAGATTCCTATACTATAGACATTCAAAGTTAACTAAAATAACCACAAAAAAATATATAGTCCACTTTTTTTTTTAAGAGAATTTTCTAAAATGAAAGTACAAAGGTTTAGAACCGTTTTCACAACTGTCGACATATTGCATCGTATTTTTAAGACTCGTGTCCGGAGGAAGCAGCACGCTGTTCGAGATTGGTAAGTTATAGACGTAAGACGAGATTGGTAAGTCTTGGACGTAAAACTTACCAATCTCGTTCAGCTGTCCACTTGCCATATAAAAATATACGAAGTCGTTCATCTATGTCAGCTTAATATTGCTCAGCGAAAGTAATCTTGATCGTGATGCTAATTTGGATGCAGATATTTTTATTCGCAAGGCCGAAGGAACGAGTAGCTGACAAAAACAAGTTGACGCTCATTCAGTATTCGAAGCGAAGTAAGAAAAAACATTGCTTCGATGCAAATGACCTGCTTTTGCTCGCCGGAGTAAAACGTTTTTTTTATAAAAGACACTCCTATACACATAGATTATGTGATAATTTCCCCTGTGATGTCGCAACTTTTGTTATGATGGAATGTGTTTATGTAATACTCGTGGCTTGTGAGCCACTTCCTTGGTGTGTTAGACCAAGTTCTGATCATCATTGACTTTACGCTGTTCAAGCAAATATTATTTTCACACTTCTCACAAATATGCACCACTTTCTCCTTCACAGCATTCATAAACCTCTAGCTCCAAGATCAGTAAGTGCACATCTCGTACGGAATGTTTGAGTAACTTACGTCTGAAAATTATTTTAACTGCAATTAGAATTTTATTGCTCCCAACAGAGTTAATTACAATAAGAATTACGACTGCATTAAAAGTTTACCCATTACTACTGTAATGTACATTTCCTTAGAACGTTGTTGAATTACTTCGTACTTACCCGTTAGTGTCCGAGTTGAATGACAGTAATTTGACAGCATCTTACTGCAGTAAAATATATTTGTCCGCTTCTAACGTAAAGCGCTTGCGTTTGCTTTGGTACGCTATTCTAAAATCCATTAATATAATGGACATCCGCTGAAACTAATACTAGTCTCACACTAAAGTACAAAATAAAATTCTTAGATTCGCCTAGTCTGCTTCGAGAATTCATTTTTTTTCTTTTTGGGCATACTGCGTTTGATTAGAATTACCTACCTTCTAGAATCACCAAGGCCAATTTATATGAAAGCTTCCTACACAAACTGGCCTCCCTATTGCCAACCGCCTTAGATTTTTGTTTGCATGTTTAATTAAAACACTCGTTAATTTT